AGGACTATGAGAACATTGTTTAGCTTAATCCTTGCTTTCTTTGTCATAACATTTTTTATATAGTCAAACTTTAGCAATAAACAGGTATTATGGTTTGCATTTCCACACACTCCCATACATCACACAATATTCTCCTTTTTCAATGACTTAGATTAAATTACATTAAATTCTCTTTAAAAAAAGAACAAAATGGACAGGTTAGATGGACATGCCATGCAATATCGACGGTCCTTATTCGAGTCATAAATTTAAACGGGCATATCCAAACCTGAAACAAGCCTAATAGGTCGGTCGGTCTACTTTAATAGCCCATTTTGACTCCTTCGTAAACAAGTTGGGAATGGAGCATGGAAAAGTCAAGAAGTGGATCTCTTGGATATATGAGAGAGAATGGCTTAGGCTTACACAACTTTGAGCAGGTACAAAGTTCCATGCAAATTAAATTTGCTTGGCGTTTAATGTTTATGGATAATTTGTGGACCAATTTATTTAAAGCAAAATATATAAAACAAAGTCACCTAGACTTGTTTGAAGACTGAGAGAGGGGTTCCCGATTTCTAAAGGTCGATAATTAAGGATTTGCTTCAGGTTGAAGTTGGATTGTTGGCTATCAACATCCTTTGAGTTCATAGTATCTGGCATCGAGAACAGAAGGCTACAATTGAGAGACTGTTGGGGAATGAATGGCTGGGACTATAACTCCCTAGTAATCGAAATGGCAGAAACCAAGGGATGAAATTATCCAAATCATAGCTCAACTATTTTCATTTTAGAGCCTATCGAATAACAATTTTTTTCCACGGGTAGTGCTTCGGACATCTTAAGGTTGAGGAGTTAGACGGTTCTGTTAATGGATTGGGATGGCACAAGGCGCTACCTAAGAGGGTAATAGTGTACATGTGGAAAGCCAAGTTTGATGGATTTCTTGCGGATAATCGCATACAAACAATAGGGATCAAACGTGTGGATTGCTTATAGAAGATTACCCAATATACCAGGTTTAGTTGCATCTCTCAAAGTTAAATTTGATAAAATCTTACTTTTGATCAACAATGTCACATATATTGTTGTAAAATTTGGTCATGGTATCTATAGAAAAAGAAAATTTAAAACACGTTAATTATAATAATATAATTATTAATTATCTTTTAAAAAATTCTAAACGAATAAATTTAATATAGACATTTGAAGGTTTTAGATTATTATATTCGTAACTTTGAATATTAATTTTATAGGCGCAACATATTTGAAATTGACCTAAGGCAGCCATAATCACAAGAACGACCCTATTTCGTAGAAATTAAATCTAAACTTTAATGATCAAAATTAATAATTAATTTTAACCACGTATCTTATGGAACCCATAATTTTTTCCATACATTTCATCAACTTGTATCAATATTTACTAAAAATGTAGTTTAATCTCACCAAAAAAGGGTTGATATCCATCCATGCATTAATGCATGGAACCGATTATGCTACATATACATCACAACTTGCAAATTTGCTTTTAAAATAAAAAATAAAAAAAAAATCTGTAAGTTATAATGTAAATGGTAAAAAATACCGTAAGTTGTGATGTACATGTAGCACAATCGGTTCCATGCATTACTAATCTCTAAGTTCTGATGTAAATGGTAAATATTAATGTATAACAAATATTTTCCTTAATGAAATATGAACCCACTATATATGTTGGCTTTCTTGTGTCCATCAAATAAGATGTATATAGGAGTTTGATGGTTCTCTTGCAATGTTTGCTCATCATTTAATAAAATACCACTTTAATAAGTTATCTCAATAACATGTTTCTAAAACATTGTAAAGAAGAAGAAAAAAATTCTTTTTAGGAAAATTGGTTTTCTTAATTTCAAATTATTATTTTTAGTTAATCTAATTAAGTCCCTGCTTGATTTTGCTAAAAAAAAAAAAAACACATATTTTTATTAGATTTTAATAGAAGTTAATAAAATGTGTAATTAAAAAGTAAATAAAATTTGTGAATCCCATAAAATGTACGATTAAAATTAATTATTGAACTTAACTTACATTTTTACCCACTTTTTTTAACTAAATCAAATCGGAAGTAAATATTATTTATTGTCCGTCCCTTGCTTACAATTAAATAGTCCAAATCCCCAAATTTATATGGAAAAGGCTACATGTACAAAAATTTTGTTCACAGAATTTGTACAGGTATTGCTAATTCAAACTGTTTTTCCTCAACTTCTAATGAATTTTCGCTAAGTGTTATCTATGAACTAACTGTATGAACCAATTCTGTAAGTGTACCACTGTCCAATTTATATGGGCTAATAGACATAGGAAGAATAGAACTTTGTGAGCATTAGTAATAATTTATAACAGACCGTCTAATCCTTACTAACGAGGTATGTATTGGAATATTAATGTTTAAAGTTGTATAAATAGTAGGAGTCCTCATGTGTGAAGGGTATTTGACAAATTCGGATTCTTGGTAAGCGAACTCAAGAATTGTTAAACATAAGGTCCTTTCAAAGGTGAGGGGTCTGATTGGCAATCAATCATATTGACCCTTCAGCGGACTTTCATCATTGATAAGGACAGGCGTGCATATTTATTGTGAAAAATTCCAGTAGTGTCTTACCATTATTGTGTCAGTGTCTATTCTTCAGGGACATAACCATAGCTATCTTGCTGAATATTGATGGCAGGAATTACCCGTCGTCTTACTTGTTTTTTAGTTGCAAAATTTAAGAAATTTTTAATACTTTTGATCTTTATTCTTAGATCAAACCAATCTGTTCATTGAAAGATAAGAAGCAAGCTATTTGTATATAAGGAGTTATATCATGATTTACATGTAAACGAGTTTAATTTTCAAATGGATTTTTACTTTGACTAATTTAATTATCAATTCCCATTTCCCACAAATTTTGAAATTTTTGATTTCTCCATCCCACTTCACCTAGTCACTTCAATAATATATTTTCCCCACCACCCAAATCTCACAATTTAATAACAAAAATAAAAAGCAAATATTACATCGTCTCAAAAAAATTATTAATATAAAAAAATCTTGTTCCGACGTCGTAATTGCTACGGCTATACTCGTATATGTGTCCTCTTACATATTAATTGTGAAATTTGGGTGGTTGGGAAATTCTGTTTATTGCATTGAATTTTTGGAAAAGGCTACATGTGGGAAGTGGGAATTAACGGTTGAATTATTCTGGGAGAGAAAAGAGTCAATGTAGCAACCCATTTATAAATTAAACCAACTTCTAACATGGCGTGTGTGGGAGAACACTCCTACACTATATCATGTGTATATAAACAATTATGTAAACTAATTATGTAATATGGTCCATTGGTATAACTACAGCCAACTATATTTAAGGAGGCACAAGTGTCACCCTAGCATGCGCTTCTAATTAATTGATTTGTATTTTACTTAAATGAAATTGAATAGTGGACCAATTTCTGGACTGAACCACTTCGATTTCTATTCAAACCTGCTCTGTTTTATTCACAAGGGCCACGGAACAGGTTTTTTAACCCTATGCTTCATAAATCACAGAAGCACGTTACAAAATATTGATTGGACCAATCTCACTAATTTACTTTCTTTTGGTTCCTATTATTAAATATGTAAAATATTTAATTGTTACAACGAAGCCAATTGGTTATATGTGATTATTTTAGTAGATAGAAACGACTGTCAATATTGCAGTTAATGAGAGCAAAACTTGCATTTTGTTGAGGATTTTGTTTGATTAGTAGGTTGTTGACAAGTTCCATATCACATAGGATTTTCGGAGTTACATCGAGATTTGTGTTTGTTTATATATCTATGAAAGATGTTGACAAATCTTATATTAAATTCTTCGGAATATTCCAAACATCTTTTTATTATTTCTTCTTTAACTCGGAGCCATCCAACTAATTTATCTCTTTAAAAAGATTAACACGAAATTTATGGGATTGACTTCAACTTGAATACAACTATTAAGTAAAATGATACATAATTTTGACTGAACATAAAACTTTATGACGTGTCATTTTTCAAATTGCCTTCCTAATTTCTGCCATTATACAAGTTCTAAAACATTGGTCACTCTCTCTCTCTCTCTCTCTCAATTAAACTAATTATGTATTTCAAAAAAAAAAATGTATTTCTAGTATTTCAGCCTTTCTTTACAATAAATATTATTAAGCATAAATCTTTCTCGAAATATGGATGACAACGTAAAGATTAAAATGCAAACTTAACCTCTAATTACGAAAAATAAATAAGCAAAACCTTAACCAGATTTAAAATCGACATTTCATGGATGAAAATATCGTTAGTTTATAAGATAACTTTGAATAAAATAGATTTCGCTCCAAAGGAAAGATAGATAGATATATTTGAGGAATAATTAGAAGGTACCAAGAATATTCTTAATCACTGTTAAGAGAATCTTAACAGATTAGTCCTATCAACCTATAAATATTCAAATCTTCATCATCAAATTAAACACTAAAAAAAATGTCTTTTCAAATTTCTACAATGTGGGTCTTCATCTTTTTCTGGCTACACTATGCTGCTAGAATATGCAATGGAGGTGTTACCAGCAGTTATATCAGAAAACCCCAAGCCTCACTCGACATGCCTCTTGAACTTTTTCCTTCACCCCTTGGATTCAATGCACCAGAGCAGGTAACTTACTTATATTGCTGGAACAAGATTTGTGGAGTTTAGTTAATTCATTATTTGTAAATCATTTGCAAGCGTTGATTTTGTTCATTCCTCGTTGCAGGTTCACATAACACAAGGAGATCGCGTAGGACGAAGCATGATAATTTCATGGGTGACCCCAATAAAGCCATATCCAAATGAAGTCACTTATTGGGAAGACATAAATGGAAAACATGGTCACAAACACAAGATTAGTGCTAAAATCACTTCTTACAGATACTACAATTACACTTCTGGTTTTATTCATCATGCAACAGTCAGAAGGCTAAAGGTCACCCACCAACTTATTTATAGTTTGTTTCTTACGCGAAAATATTATTTGATATAGAATCTTATGTTTTGAATCCGTGCAGTACGACACGAAGTACATTTACGAACTCGGAAAGCACAATACGACTCGGAGATTCCACTTCACGACTCCTCCTCAAGTTGGACCTGATGTTCCATACACCTTTGGTGTTATGGGTGAGCAGATTTATAGCCTCGTAAATTCAATTATGTATTCACTATACTTACAATTCATGCTTATGTATCTAGGTGACTTGGGACAAACATATGACTCGAATCAAACATTCGAGCATTATGTGGCGAACCGAAAGGGTCAAGCAGTGCTGTTTCTTGGTGATCTTTCATATGCAGACGATTATGAATTCCATGACAATAGGAGGTGGGATAGTTGGGCTAAATTCGTCGAGAAGAGTGTTGCATACCAGCCATGGATTTGGACAGCAGGAAATCACGAACTCGACTATGCCCCAGAGATTGTAAGACTTTCGCTCTCGATATTGCCTAGTAATTTAGAGCCGAGTGCATCGAATACGCCCTCGGTCCCTGATTTGTCCGTTACATTAATTAATTCATAATTTTATGCATATATCTGACATGTTGTGAATTGTTTGAACATATTTTTTGTAGGAGGAAAACACTCCATTCAAGCCGTATATGCATCGTTATCACGTTCCTTACAAGGCGTCCCAGAGCACGTCTCCTCTTTGGTATTCCATTAAGCGTGCATCGGCCTACATAATTGTACTGTCTTCTTATTCGGCTTATGGTAAGTAAACATTGTTGCTGGGAACTATCCTTTTGGTTGCCTAGGCTATACCTTCGGAAAAATATCAAAATACATTATGATTTGTTTGTCTATAATTTTCAGGTACATATACTCCACAATATAACTGGCTTCAACAAGAATTGCCAAAAGTGAACAGGGCTGAAACTCCATGGCTCATTGTTCTTCTTCATTCTCCATGGTATAACAGTAATAACTACCATTACATGGAAGGAGAAAGCATGAGAGTCATGTTTGAATCTTGGTTTGTTCAGAACAAAGTCGATCTCGTGTTTGCTGGACATGTTCATTCTTATGAGCGCTCGGTAAGCCTTTCAATTTCAAACAAGTTTTCTTTAATTCTTGTCTAGTTCAGCGTACATTAGTATTTTTTGCTTCCCATGCATGGATATATGACAAGGCTTTCAATGATTCTATGAAACATTTGTACATAACATGCTGTCTTCTCGATGACTTTTTTTTATATAAATTAACAAGATTTCACAATTCTTGATGAAACAAGCCCAAATTTGTTATCCCGAATTTTCTCGGTCCTCTAAGCTATCACCCCATTGCAGTTTCGAAGCCTTGGCTGTCTTCCAGTTCGAGATATGAAAATTGTACAGGGAACAGACGTTAAGTCCGACTAAATATTAACGAAATGTAATTCTTGTTTTTCTGTACAGGAAAGAATATCGAATACCAAGTACAACATAACAAACAATTTGGGCACTCCAATGAAAGATGCTTCTGCCCCAGTGTACATAACCATTGGTGATGGTGGAAACATAGAAGGCCTTGCTAATAAGTAAGTGTTTCACATTCTATTACTCTCCCCCAGTACATAAACAAGCTAATTAACCAACAAATGGACGTCCATATAACCGTGTAATTTGCAATGCAGCTTTTCAGAACCACAGCCAAGTTACTCAGCTTTTCGAGAAGCAAGTTTTGGGCATGCAATTCTTGAAATAAAGAATAGGACTCATGCCTTCTACAGTTGGTACCGGAACCATGAAAATGAGCCAATTGCAGCTGATTCTACTTGGTTTTACAACAGATATTGGTATCCGCATGAAGAGCCAAGCTCCACCAAGAATTAAAAAAGGGCTTTAAATAAGTTGTTCTGCCAAAAGAAAATGTAATAATATTATGCCTTCGCTAGTTTTTCTTTCTCCCTAACTCGTAGAAGTAGAAATAGGATGTTTTGATTTGTCCTTGTATTAAAACTTTGCAAGCATTATTTATTATTATAATGTTTTTACTGTTTAGATTTGTCCAATATCATCATCTACATTACCCACGAATAATTTAGTATTTTTTTACTAAATATTAGTAATGCATACTCGCAACAATGACACGATAGAAATAGAAGATAATGCATGTACACACACTCCTCTAAGTGAATATATAAACAAGTGTTTTCTCAGTTATAAAGAATTCAGTGTCATTGGATATATGTGGTGCAAGAAGCTCTCCGCACCCCCACCCAACTTGTTCCGAGCCTCAAAAAGGTAGGGGATCCCGGTTGCTTCACCTACACATATGTATGTGCATGTGCGCATCAAAGGTTATCCGGCAACACTACTGCTGGGGGCATCTCTGAGATGTTGATTTTCCTAGAGAATTGTATTATTTTCTTGTCTATTTAAAATATCACAGAACGTTACAATTTTATTTACATCTTATCAATATTTTAAAATATTTTCATATTGTATATTTTTATTTAATCTGTAAATATAGTTGACTATGTTGTAGACAGTGTGCTATTAGGAGCAATAGCCACCATACAAGTATCATAAGTCACTATAAATAGTGTCTTAAGTGAAAAATCTTCAATGCATATTGTCTAGAGACCAAGAATGTAAAAAATAATTGAAGAACAGAAGCTTTTGATTCTAGAGCATTTACTAGTAAGCATAATTTAATGCGAGTTTTCTTCAATTTCATGATGATCAGTCACTGCATTCGCTCAAACTTTTAGATAGTTCTACAATATTATTGCTAGAATATTGTATGATTACATAACCAAGAGTATGTTATGTAAATAATTTGAATAGTATATAGAAATGTCTTCGTTAGCCTCTATCCACCAACTACTATAGGATTAGAACGATCTCTTGAACAGATTGATGGTATAACTAGGAAAGTAATGCTCATTTGTTACTCCTTTGAAGAGGATTCTTCAATGTTCAACACGATATGAATAAACATTGATCCATCCTTAAATTGAACTACACTTCAAATATTAATTCAAAAATATACAACCTTTTTGTCTACATATAATGTCCATTTAGTGGATATCAATTAATATATGACCAACCGTGTTGCTCATTTCAATGTATTTATACACATCTATGATCAATATCAAGGCAAGAAAATTTTCGCCAATTGCCAACATTTAAAATTGTAACTGAATCCAAAACATGTGTTCATTATTTCGTTTTTAAATCGTAGTCAGACAACTGATTAATCTCCTTAAACAGATCTATGGAACGAATTTGTTGAGATTGAATCTGACTTGAATTGGCATGTAATTATATGTTTAATCAATTACAGCTATTATGTAAAATAATGTAACTTTGACTCTAATATATACAAGATAGACTTAATATAATAATGTATTACATGTATAGACAACTAATTAGTTCACCTAAATATTTTTGTGTAAAAATAATTAAAACGTAAGCAAAAATAGGAGCATAAATCTTTCTCAAATTATGGATAACAACGTAATGGCTAAAATGCAAACTTAACATCTAATTATGAAAAATAAATAAGCAGAACCTTAACCACATTAAAGATTTAAATTTCATATATGAAAATACAATTAGTTTATAAAATAACTTTTGAGGGCAAACACGCTTTTAAAGAAAATGAAATATTCGAGGAATAATTAGCAGGTAAAAAGAATATTCCTAATTATTGTTAAGAGAATCCTAGCAAATTAGTCCTACCAAGTTGTAAATATTCGAATCTTCATCATCAAATTAAACCCTATAAGAAAATACATAGCTAGGTCTTATCAAATCTTAGGGTGCATTTGATTAAAATTATGGAATTTACATGAAACAAAAATAAGTTTTAGGCAATCCTATTACCTATAACTTATTTGTATAAAAAGTATTAATTAAATATTTGATTAATTTAATTTTCAATCTAAAATATTATGTTTGTCCATTTTTTATTAGTGGATAAATGAGAGAGAGAGAGAGAGAGAGAATGTGAATTACCTAGGAAATAAAAATCATCCCTCTTTAAAGAAAATATTTTCCTTACCTATTGCAATTTTTTTCTACTCTCTCTATGATGTATCATATTTTCATTGTATGAACATATCTAAGTTTCCATTCATGTAGGGATTGTTAGAATTTGGTTTAAAGATTGAAAATTTTAGTTAAGTATAAACTTCAAAAAAGTGACTTCGTGTCAACTTTGACCAAAAATTAGGACTTGATCTGACAGTCAAATAATAAAAATAAATACTCTAACTTGTTTTACCTGTCAAGTAGATTAACATAGTATATTTGAAATTTCAAAACTAATTCTGAAATGAATGTGAAATTGCGGTCTAAAATTGAAAGAAAAATGAGGAGAAAAGAGGCCAAAATCAGCTAAAATCGTCGCTCGAGCGGTAGGCTAGCACTAAGCGAGTAGCAAAGCTATCACTCGAGTGACAAGATAGCGACAGGTGAGAGAAAAACTTCTATTGAAAAGATGTCACTGGCACTTGAGCAAGAGGCCAGCGACAGCAAGGAATGGGCCCTTTCTTGAAGATTGTTGAGTTTTAGAGCGTATCTTTTCACTCACAATATCTCTTCTTCTATAACTAGGATCCTTTGGACGTCCATTATGCATCCAATATTATTTTGCATTGAGTCTTGCATCAACACCTCTTCAAAAATCGTTAAAAAAGTTATTTTTCTTATAGAGAGAAGAAAAATTGTTTGAGTTCACTGTTGCTACCACAAGTTGCAACCGTTATATCTTGAGAGATAAGTGCCGTAATTTGTTAACACCGTCGTTAGGCAATTTTGCCTTAAAGAGGAAGTATTTTATCACTTGTCACGAATTTTTCTTTCGTCTTTCAGTCTCCTTCCTTCCTTTCCATTTACTATTCCATATTGTGCCTATTTAGTTTGGACTATCTAATTGTAATCTAAGTCAAAGTCAAACAATCAATATTAACCACATCTTTCATGAGTCACACAACTTTTCAAATATATTTCAAAAACTTCTATAACAATTTACTAAAAAAATCTAATTTTATTTCCCACCAAACACCTTCTAAGTTTAATTAAGCTCCTGCAAATTAAACTTTAACAATTACTTTGGGGGAAACCGATAAAATTTGGAGATGTATATTTCAAAAGATGGCAACAAAAGATGTTCTATGATACTACTTTGAATTCAGCAAATTTCTTAAAAGAATTTGCTCCTGCAGTACAAGAAGGAGAAAAAAATAGTGAAGTGAATATGGTCTTGGATGCATGGAAGCATTCGAATTTTATTTGCAAAGAATGTATACTAAATGGTTTGGATAATATTTTATATGGAGTATATAGTTCAAAAGACTCGGCCAAGAATCTATGGGATTCAATAAAGAAGTACA